CAAGAATAAAAAAATAACCCAATTAAAACATGGGTACAGAATTTGAACAAACATTTCTCCAAAGAAAACATACAAATGGCCAATAAGCACATGGAAAGATGCTTAATATAGTTAGTCATTAGGAAAATGCAAAACCACAATGAGATACCACTTCACACCCACTAGGATGAATGTAATAAGTACATAAATAAATGAAAAATTTAAAGAAAAATAAGAGTTGGTGAGGATGTGGAGAAATTGGAACCCTTATATTATCCTTCTGTGAATATAAAATGGTGCAGCTCGTTTGGAAAACAGTTTTTCAGTTCCTCAAAAAGTTAAACATAGAATTACCATATGCCCCAGGAAATCTACTCCTAGTTATTTATCCAAGAGAACTGAAAACACCCCCCCACACACAAAAACTTGTACATGAATGATCATTGCAGCATTATTCAGAAGAGGCAAAAAGTAGAAGCAAATCCAATGTCCATCAACAGATAAATGGATAAACAAAATGTGGTACAGTCATACAATGGAATATTATTCAGTTTAAAAAAGGACAAAGTACTGATGCCTGCTACAATGTGGATGAACCTCGATACCATTATGCTAAGTGACAGAAGCCAGACATAAAAGGACAAATATTGCATGATTCCACATATATGAAATCTTTAGAACAGGCACATTCGTAGAGACAGAAAGTAAACTGAAAGCTGGGAGAAGTTTCTTTTCGAGATGATAAAAATATTCTAAAATAAAATAGTAGTGAAGGTCGCACAATTCTGTGAATATAGTCAAAACAGTGAGTTGTGTACTTTTTAAAAAAGTGAATTTAATGGTGAACTATTATATCTCAGTAAAATATTATTTAAAAAAAAGAAAAAGTAAGTTACCTGCCCTAGGCCCACATACAAAAAACACACAGAGAATAAATGTGATGAAGAGTACACAGGAACTCCATGCCTCTTGGGTGCTGGCACTCAGCGCTAGGAAAGTGTAACCAAAACCTTAAACATCTGCTCCTGAGACTGTCACTGTTCTGGCCCCAAGAAACACTTCTCTACATCTCTTGTTCTTTGTCTTTAGAACAGAAGGGGACTGTGATTGTATCCTGTGAAGGTTTTATGTGTTATAGCACTGCCACTGGAGCAGACAGACACTGCTTAGAGCCCAGGAAGAACTGCAGTGGCAGAAGCACTTCAGTAGGAGAAGAGAGAAACTAACCAACTTGTCAAATTCCTCCTCCCAGTTTGCACGTAAAAGACTCCTGGACAACAAACTTTCATTCCCATTATTACCAAGCATCCATTTTCTTGATTTCCTTTATATGCCAATCAGTGCTTCTGAAAGCTCTAACAAATTAGAATAATACTTGCAAGAGTTCCACATGGCTGAGAAAAATTTTGCAGTATTAAGGGTTATGGGTTGATTTGTATCTCCCCAAATTTGTATGTTGAAGTCTTAATCCCTCCAACCTCAGAATGTGACCTTATTTGGAAATAGGGTCTTTACAGAGGTAATCAAGCTAACATGAGGTCATCAGTGTGGGTCCTAACAACATGACTGGTGTTCTTATAAAAAGGGGAAATTTAGGGACACACAGGGAGCATGCCATGTGAACATGAAGGCGGAGGGCAGGGTGATACACCTACAAGCCAATGAATATGGAAAAATGCAGGCAAACTTCCAGGAGAAGAGAGAAATCCTTCCTGGCAGCCATCAGAAGGAACAAACCTTATGGACACCTTGATCTCAGACTTCTAGCCTCCAGAACTGTGAGACACTAAATTTCTGTTGTGTCAGCCAAACAGTTTGTGGTACTTCATTACAGCAGCCCAAAAAAATGAATATGTTAAACAATTGAAATGATTCTTAGACTTGTACTCTCTCAGGATAACATGGGAAGCATGATACTCACTTATATGATGAAATTATAATATTTTGTAATATATTCTGCAATAATGAGTATTTGTCATATATGGTCCCATTTCTATGTATGAACATGGTACATAAAATTCATAGTTTATTTCCAAATTTATGTTTCGCTTTGGTCATTTTATTGATAACTATAGTTGCTGCTGGCTCAGGGGAGTAAAGTTTCTCCAAATTAAAATTCATTTTAAAAAGTAAGAATAAAAATGGCTCAATAAAATTTGTCTAATTTTGCATGGTTGTCAATAAAATACGCACTGTAAAAATCTTATACAAAACAACATAGGTAGCCATTTTTGCTGAAATGAGCCAAAGAAGTTTTTTATAGAACTAATATATAACAATCTATGAATTATATTTATAATATCTCTGGCCCATAAACAGAATATCCAGACATGCATAAGTAGTCATTTTAGATAGTCCCAGCCTTTAGCCATTCACAAAAAGCATAACTTTACATGTATTTATTCTTTTTGGCTTTATGAAGGTATATTTGTCACTGTGAGAGGATAGAACATATTTTATGTAACCATTTTGCTAGCTTGATTTATAACTTTTAAATATTTAGACGTATGGTATGTGGGCCTCCACTAGTGCTCATGCCCCAGGCTCTATAATTGTTAGGGGTGGGCCAGGACCCTGCGAAGACAGAAGAAATGAAGCCCGAAGCTATGAGCAGAAACCAGACAAAAATCTCAAACTTGCTCCTACCATAAACTAACACATCATCCTGAAAGCTTTCCATGAAAACTGAATGCAGTCTCTTGGAGGAAGTGACAAGTGCCTTCCTGGGCCATAGTCCCAAGGGCCCTACAAGCCCTCCCTAGGCAGGAGTCATGTAGGCCCGTTGCCTTAAGTGGCCCTCAGCTCTCACCAGGTTTGAAGCACTTAATACATTACACCGTCCCGATGTTCCAAATTGCTAGAGTTGTGTCATGGGTGTTCATTTTATTTCTTTGCAGTGAATTCTGAGCCACTTTCAAGTAAACAGAGCAATTTATAACTGCACTTCACTCCTCTTTTGGAAAAAGTAGTGTACAATTTGACCAAAGGCCTTCAGAGGGCTCCTCAAGGAGGCGATATTCCCCAGAGCTTTCATTTTGTTTTCTTCTGCCAGGCTGGCTGCTTACTGAGGGGGCTGGGAGGGCAGGGACAGGAACTAGCATTCTATTTGGGGGTTAGTCTTAGCAAGTGAGGAACCCTTAGAGACAGGGTAAGTGGTGGCGCTTGAGAGGGGAGCAAAAAAACAGGAAATATCACTGGTTCCTCAGGGAAAGAGAAAAAGGGTACCAAAATGCCAACTAGGAACACCAACAAGAGGATGGAGACTGAACTGAAAAAGGCCCGATGGGATTTCCAACTTGGATTGTATTTTATCGTAACTCCCTGCAAGCAAGCATAGTGACTACACATTTCATGCTATTGCTTACTAATGTAAGGGATCATGGGACAGCTAACATAAAACACAGGTGCCTGACATCAAAGGATACATTTAATTGCAGTTGAGCACCTTTAAGGGACTTCAATACCCTCTCCATAGACATCAGTCTCAAAAGTGGTGTATTATTATCTTTGTATAAAATTAAAAATCATAAGAGACTTAGACTGGGTTCATCAGAAAGATGGCAGCAAAGAAAGAATGAAAACTTCAAGAAGGAAAGATGTGTACATGTTTAAAAATAACTTTCATAATAGAAAAGGAACTCTGATGCAAATACAACAGGCTGAAAGTCAACACCCCAGCGCTTAACAGTAAGGGCAGATTAGTGAACCACATAAATCAACCTGGGATGCAGATTATCAGCCGCCACATTCGAAACACAGATTAACAGGAACAAATAAGATATCAGGGTGGGAGGCATTTTTACAGCAAGTAACAAAAGTTTTAATCTTTGTTTAAATAAGACTTCAAAAGGATTCCACATATAACCAATGGGGAGACCATTTAATGAAAAAAGAAAAAAATTAGCTTCAAGAAATGCAAGGCAGAGTGACCAAACTTCTGACTTGTTTTAAGATCAATCAACATTTTCTACCTGGGCAAGTAGAATGCAATTAGCACTTGGGTGATTTTAAAGACTCTTTTACAGTCACCTTTAACTGCCTGATGAAATAGCAGAACAGTATGGCTGAAGGCCAATGTTTATTTTTACCCATTACCTATTTTATTAATGGGATTGTGAGCCACTGGGCCTCCAGGCACACACAAATGTATTAAAATATCCCACACTGTAATTAAGTGGCACAGAGGGGATTGGAGCAAATTAAGTGGCTTTTATATTTACCTTGGGTGTAGTCTAGGTCAGACAGTTTGATGCTCTCCTAACAGAGCTTAGTAAATTTTACTTTAGAAGTCTATAGCATATAGAGGATATTTTCTTGCAGAATAAGAGTTTTAATAAATGTGTCTTTCCACCAAAATAAAAATATTCATAAAGAAAAATGGCCCAAATAGATACTCTTAGAATAAAAGGTGAGAATTCCTTAGCCAGAACAAAGGACAAACGCATCAACAATAATACGGGATCTTTAGATTTCATTAACAAGGGACTCGAAATTAATCAATCAAACTTCCACGTCACTCTCAGTCCGGCTTGGGGCTTTCCTCCCCAATGTAAGTTAGAACTTCTGCCTCCAAGTTCTTTAAAGGGAGTGAAAAATAAAGTGATCACCTAGTTGTTGCCCTGAACAATAATTAAAGCATAAGAAATGCTTGCAGAAGCAAAACAGACGCTTTGAGCTGAGAGTAAAAGTTCCTATACCAGCACTCTCTCATTTTTTGTTTGATTTTACCAAAGCCATTGTTGCCACTAAATGTTAGATTCCTTTTTAAATAGTAAATAGGAGAAGATTTTTGCTTTGATCATTCAGAATCAACATTACTACCCTTGACATTACTGCCAATTGCTGGTCTCCTGTGAATCTTCAGAGCAGAGAAAAAGACAAATGGAATGAGGGCAGGGCAGAATGGAATGACATCTGGAAACTCGGAGCTTTGGCCCAAGCAGAGGACAACATTCCCTTTGCCCTTGAAAACTGTGGTGAAACGCTCAGAAATGACAAGAGAGGAGATGCAAGGTACTTACGAGTATCCTGGACTTGCAGTGGGAGGGGGGCCTGAAGAAATGAAAGAAAAACAAAGGAAACAGTCAGTCTGGCTTCTTGCAGGGCGAGTTGTGAGTGCAGTCAAACCATTACAAATTAAAGTTCTCAACCACCCAGAGGTGATATTTATTTTTCTGGCAGTTATTGTTTTGTTCCAGTTTTCCCCAACCACCTCTGTGAGAAAAGAAAAAAAAACACCCAAAAACAACAACATACCAGTGAGAACGTGTCTATATCTCACAGTTTAGGGCCTGAAAAATGCTAAGGCAAGGGCTAAAAAATGATTTAATACAGTAGGCATCCTCAAACTATGCAGGGATTTTTCCAGTGGGTGGCTGAGCGACTACAGGAAGGTGTCAACTGCTAGTGAGTGGTGGTTTCCTTCTAGTCTTTCATGGCAGCTGGACAGAAAAGGGGTACACATGTTGCAAATATTCCCAGCTTCTCTGGACATGGAGCATCCTTGCTGAGAAGGGCTCAGTGGCATGATGGTTTGAAGTAGGGGATGTAGGGTCAGAAAGATGCAGACTCCATTCCTGCTCTGCTGTTTGCTACCTGTGCAACATGGTAATTAACTACTAGGACTTGCTTTACTTATTTGTAAAATGGGTACGGTGTGTACCAGCTTTAGGGGTGTGGGCAGATAGTACATTCTCAGTGAGTGGGCATATTACCCTCTTCCTCGCTACTCTAGCCTTCCTGCCATGTTGGGCTGGGGGCCAGAGGCCATCCCCGGTAGGAGGCTGCTTACCAAACTTGACAAACAAGACTCCAGTGGTAGAAACCACCTTCTTGCCATTCGTTGCCACACACTGGAAGTAGCCTGTGTCTGTGGTGTCGAGGTTTCTGATCCGCAGCCGAGAGCCATAGTTGGTTGCCCGAAAGGAGATTCTCCTGGGCTCCTGGACCACAGGTGCATCATTTTTGAACCAGCGGATGGTGGGAGGCGGATTCCCGGAGACTTTGCAGTGCAGTTCTGCCGTCTGGCCCAGGGACGTGGTGATATTATTCATTGGTTCATCAAGAGTCAGGTAAGAATCTGTGAGCACATGGGAGAAGGAGGCAGGTGAGAGGGGTGGACAGCTGGGGAGCACCTCTGAGCAACCCAATCCCATGCCAGTGTGCCCCCAGGATCACAGCCCGCTGATCAGGAGAGGCACGTGGAGACAGACAGGGAATGAAATGGTACCAAGCCTCCACGAGTACTAAACAGTCACCCACAGAACCTGCTGCTTGGAAGGAAATTTGTTATTAATCGAAATATAAAACCCAAAGCCTTCAAATGATTACACAGCACCCATGGATACATGTGCTTTCTCAGTTAAGGCAAAATGAACTTTTGAGCTTCAGATGATATTGGAATTGTTACAAATTCCAATATAGCAGATGTATTGGAATTGTTACAAACTCCAATACAGCAGAAAAGAGAGGAAAAAAAGCAAAGTTCACCTCCAATTTCCCCACCCTAAAATAACACCATTCTTAACATTCTGGCAAACATCCTTCTAGCTTGTCTACTTTTGACAAGAAAGAAAGCATGAAAAACTGCAAAAAGCAGGAGCAACACATCTGAATCCACGTGGCACAAGATTAGGAAGGATGCCTGAAACCTTCTTAGTGATGACATAAGAGTTGTAAAGGCCAGGTCATCAGCAGACAAAGTGATGAAGCAATGGCCATTTCCATACAATGACTCATTTCAACCATAACATGTTACGGTACACAATTCATTCAAATATATATATATATATATACAGTTCAATATATAATAGCAGGCAGATATTAGTACAGATATTAGTCATACAGTTCCATGAGTATTGACAAATGCATCTACCCATAAAGCCAATCCCCTATCCTGATGGAACATCAACTCCCCAGAAAGTTCCCTCCATCCTTTGTAATCAGTCTCTGCTCCCAACCACTCCCTCCCACCCCACCCCCAGGCAACTACTGTTCTGATTTCTATCATCATAGATTAATGTTGCCTGTTCCAGAACCTCATATAAATGAAATCATGCTGCATGTACATTTTACATTTGGCTTCTTTTAAGATTTATTGCATTAAAAACTTTAATAATGAAATAAGTTTTATTTAAGCTTATTCTTCAATAAATAGTGTTTAAACATCATATTAATATTAGTTGTGGAATCCACTTGAAGAGAAATAATTTATTTTTTTTAAATTTAATTTTTTTAAAAAATTGCTCTGTTATTCACACATATGGAGTTTTCTTTAGTTTCATTTCCCCTGATCACCCATTCTTGGATAGATTCTCTCACCCCCATATCCTCCCAATACTCTCTGTCTTTCCCTAGTTCCAAACCTGGGATGGCTTGTTCAGCAGCTGTCTTCACTGCAGAGAACGAACTCCCTACGGGCAGGCATGGGAATGTGTTAGTCTGAAATGTTCTATAATCGGTGTTGTCTGATTGGTAGCCACTAGCCACACATGGCTTATTGAGTTCATGAAATGTGGATGGAGGGACTGAAAAAATGAATTTTTAAACTTAAATGCAAATAGGCACATGTGGCTAGTGGCTACTGTATTGGTAGAGCACAGTAAATTTGTTGAATTTAATGGAAGTTTATTGAGAAATAACCTTTTTTTGAGCAATTTAACTGGATAATTGCCCAAATGCCTGTAAAATGAGTTCATAAATGCTAAAAAAAAAAAAAATCATTATTTGCTTTAATGTTCCACAAAAAATTGGGGAGGGGTATTGTTAATGTCTTGGTAGTCACACAGAAGTGTCACACGTGTGAATGGCATTTATCACACATGTGCAGTAGAAAAGAGATTAAGCATGACCATCCGGTTACCATAATGACACTTTTTGTCTCACTTAAGCCAATGAATAATTATCCTGCCAACAGAATCACAAGCCCATAAATGATCTTGCTAATGCTTTGCTTCCTTACATTTGTATTTTGATCTCTATCTTTGGGCATGTTTCTATAATCTATAAACAGCTATACTCAATCCATGAATGTGTTTGCTCGTGGATAGAAGCACATGTGCTCCTAAGATGTTTGAGGTATGCCCAGAAAGTAGTAAGCTAATTAGCAGTTGGCGTTATGGAGTCATTATCATGGCTTTATGGCCCTAACTCATGCCTGGAGAATGGATAACTATGCACCCTCTGCTGAGAGTAACTTAGAAATAGCAATCACATCATAATGCCAATATAAACAGAGTGATTCCTATTTTACTGGACAGGTTCTGGAATTTGATTGGCTGGCTTCGAATCCCAGCCTCTCTGTGTGACTTTAGGCAAGTTACTTAACTTTTCTGTAGCTTCTCTTTAACCAAATGAAAAATAGGAGTAATAAACAGGGTTCCATCTGGGAAAACTGATAGAGGTGGATTAAAATTAAATCGAGTGACACCTGTGAGGCACTTAAAGCAGAGTTAGGCAAAAAGTAAGCACTCAAAAATGTTAATTAATGATGTTACTATTGTTTTTATAATAATAACTTCTGTAGAATGCTTTTCAGGTTACAAAATATTTTCACAGTTTCTGTCTCCTGTTATCCCTTAACAATCCGGGGAAGCAGGAAAAGCACATTAATTACCACGATCTCCAGCTGCAGATGAGGAAATCACATCTCAGAGATTAGCTGACTTGCCCACGGTCACGCTGTAAACTGCCCAAAGCTTCCATCACCGACGACCTTCAATCCTTCGGCACCTAAACAAAGTCCGACTGAGGCAGCTGGCCAACACGGTACCAGTGACAGACTACTCTGAAATCTTACCACCTGCCAGGGCTTTCCTTTGGTATTTACCTGCACAATAACCTTGCAAGAGAGGAGTCATCATCACTGTTTTACAATGAGGAAACCTAGGATCAGAGAGGTCAAGCAACTTGCCCAAGGCCTTGTGGCTGAACTGAGGTCCAATTTATACCTCTCTGGCTCCCAAACCTAGCTCTTTCCACTCCAACAGACTGCTTTGGTACCCTGAGCCCCACTGAGAGCTGGGTACAGAGCTGGAATGTTTTCCCTAAACTAGGGTGGGCCCTGGACACACATATACCCACAGGGCTGTGCGTTTCCAGCCAGGACTGTCTGGTTGATGGGTCTAAGTTTTAGCCACGGGTGCTGGCTGGTGTTCCAGCCATCCTCCGGAGACCAGGTACCTCACCTGAGCTGCTCTATATACTATCTACCTAAAAACAAAAATGAGGGTTGCAGGGCACCTTGAAATCAGCGTAGTAGCTGGCCCAAGCAGTGTGTTTCCAGACAGAACAAAGGAAATGTAAGCAAAATCTCTGTGTTTCCTAAACAAAGGAGCCTTGCCACAAACAGGGAATTTGCTTTTAACTTTTCACTGACAAAGAAGGTTCAAATTTGTCTGCCATCTGTAGCTGCTCACTTAGTAAGCAGAACTAACAAACGGTCTGGTCCTCAGTTTGGCGAAGACCAGAAGCCTCAGAACAGTCTCTCGCCTGAACACGAAAGCACTCTGTGGCTGGAATAAACCGAAAAGAAACGCACATCTGTATCGCCGACTGCTTTCTCTCTTGTTGTTAACAAGCCCCTGGCCATGATCCATTCTCTTCCCAGAACCAGCTGGATCCTTCCGTAGCAGCCTCATGGGCCACGCCAGGGGACCTGCTCTCCTCCCCACACGCAAAGCTCGGTGCGGCATTGCAGGTTCTGGACTAGTCAGTCCTTTCGGAGAGCACCTGGGTACCCAACTGGACTCCAGTGTCAGTTCTGCCACTAACTAGCCGAGTGTATCAGGGAGTCACTTTGCCGCCCTGGGCTTTGGATACACAATCTATTAGCAGGGCCTTTGGGGTCTGCTCATTCTGGGACAGCGTGTGTTTCCATCTGGGCAGCTGCAGAACCACAGGGTAGCAGGCAACAAGCAGGTGCCCACTGAGCTTGAATGCCAGACAAAGAAATTTGGCCTCTACATATAAACCGGACTGTCTGTGTGCTGTTTTCAGTGGTTTGCTTCGATATCTCTGATAATCTGTGCTTGAGCTATGGGAGATTTTTTGTACTTTTTACCATCTTCCCTAAACTACAAATGCTGAGATGGCGGACTGGTGAGTGAGAGGTGGGGTATGATCTGGATTGAGAGACAAAAACTTCAGTTCCTCTGAATCCACCTCTAGCTCTGTGTCCCTGAACAAACTATGACTTCCGATAGTAATACTGGTAGTAACGGTGGTGATGACAATGACAACGATGGTATGGTCATAGGTAACACCTAAATGGTATTTATTGTCACGACAGGTATTGTTATGAACATTTTACACACGAGAAACCTAAGGCACAGAGAGGGTAAGAAAGTTGCCTAAGATCACACAGACATTAGGTATAAGTGAGATTTAAAACAAATTAGTTTTCCTCCAGAGTCCATGTTCTAGGATAGGAGTTTTTAAACTTTTGGTCGCAGAACCCCTGTATAATCTTTAAAATATTGAGGACCCCAAAGAGAAAATTTTAAAATATTTGTTTATTAATTTATTTAAAATAAAAATATAACAATCCTATTACTTAACTTTTCTTTTTCTTTTCTTTCTTTCTTTTCTTTTTTTTTTTTTTAGATGGGGTCTTGCTCTGTTACCCTGGCTAGAGTGCAGTGGCATCACCATAGCTCACAGCAACCTCAAACTCCTGGGCTCAAGCGATCCTTCTGCCTCAGCCTCTTAGGTAGCTGGGACTACAGGCATGCGCCACCACATCCAGTTCATTTTTTTTCTATTTTCTATAGAGACGAGGTCTTGCTCTTGCTCATACTGGTCTTGAACTCCTGACCTCAAGCAATCCTCCTGCCTTGGCCTCCCAGAGTGCTAGGATTACAGGAGTGAGCCACTGCACCCAGCCAACATAAATATTTTGATAAAAATATTTAACAAAAAATAAATGTAATTTCCACACACATACCAAAAGTAGTAAGGAGAATGGCATTGTTTTATATTATTGCAAATGTATTATTTACATTAAGAGTAGACACTTGGATTCTTTTGTTTCAGCATTCAATCTGTTGAGATATGTTGTTTTGGTTGAAGAAAAAGAAAGGG